TATCTTGCCTTCTATTGATGAGATGTGTAAATTTTTGACTGAAATGCGAACATTCTGTTCTCGCAAAAGTCTATACAAATACAAATACAAATACAAATATAACTCAATTGCTCCCAGACGCTTAAAATACCCTGTATTGAATGAATAGACTTCACTTGATTCGACGAATTTGCTGGACCTGCATCAAAAAAAGTACTCCCTTTGATTTGAGTTTTCAAGAAGTTGCAAATAATTTAAAAACCTGCAATGATACATGATCGTAAACTTAGTGATTCTCTCTACTTGAAACAATCAATATTAAGATAGCCTACAAACTTCCAACCAACGAGTCACCAATTTTCAATTTTCGGGCTTCTTTTGTCCGTGAAGACACCGACATAATTCTTTTGTCCTTCCACATCGACTCCCAAACCTTTCAGTGTAATCTGTACACATGAATTACCCAACCAGTATAGGCGATAGATGGTAAGAAAAAAACGGTGAAATTGTAACATAATATCCACCCTATCAGTTGGAACGAAAAAAAGGCAAACACTGAGTACCAAGTATCACTCAATCCGGAATCATGTTTGATGCTTAGTATGATGTTCACTGGCCGGAACTTCACCAACCTTTCCGGTCTATTTGTGTTTTCCTTTTAGTGATCGAGGAGCGGGAAGGGGGGCTAGTCAGTGGAGTGATCAGACTAACAACTAATGCGTATAAGATCAATCTGTTACGGATCGGTACTATCATCAGTCACGAATCAGGAGGGTCCCCGTTGTTTGGTTTGAATAAAATTCATCTGGATCTTACGTGAGAGCAAACAATGGGAAACGGAGGTCTTCTGTTGCAAAATCATTTTCGGGCGAAAAGAAATTTTCGTCAAATTTGGGGAATTAAGGCCGAAGATGGCACAGCTCTGAATTGTGAACGATGCTCAGACATTTAGAAATGTGAGCAAGCATTACTATATCATTTTGCTTTAGACGGGTTACACAAAGTCAATAGAATGGAACATTTCCCACAAGAAGCTCCTTTAGTCAGTTCATTTCAGTAAACTTAACACAAAGTCTTTTGATAGTCAACATAAATCCATGGGATGGCAATGAATCCGTCCGAAAAGAATCTTCAATGCATCCCTACGCTGTCAACAAGCGATCCGAATAAACGGAAGTAAGTCGTTTACTTACTAAATGACATCTTCAGTAAACGATTTGTGTCTTATTTGTCATTAAAAATGGTGTTTCGATTATCAGGAAAATTTATGGTTTGTGATAGTTTCACAACTCCTCCAGGAGGTCGCTGTTTATCTAACGTTTTCATTCATGCTCTAATGGAATAGGTTAGAATTATGTTTTAGCCATCCACTCTTTGAAGTAGTTTCGTCTCCACCCTAATCCATGAATACAAAACGTAATGGAAGAAGTTTCGGTTGAGGATTTCTAAAGGTTCAACTAATGAGTTAAATGTGTTCAACACTAAGAACGGCCTTGCAGAAGACAAATTTACCGAGAGAAAAAAGAACAAAATGACAAAAACAATATTCCGGTGAAAAAAACGACTATTCAAACCATTGAAGTCATTTTTATAATAAAATAAAGCTGATTCAGACGGTCAATTTGTTTTAGAAGTAGTCATCTATGATGTTCATCGGTAGAGGTAAACTCACGTTATCCACGAAATATTCCTTTTAATAAGTTTTTCGAAACGGGTGGACCCCGCGGTCTCTCAGCTATGTTGAAAATTAAACAATGCTTTAAACGAACCACTCAACGAGAGCAATTTACATAAACATAAGCGAAAACAAAACAAATGCTCAATATACATCGAAGATCGAGTTAAGCACTCCGTTAATTTCTTGTGACTTGCAATCAGACTGTGTTCCGTCTGGGTGACGCTAATCCCATAGTGACTTTCATGTATTATGTCTGCACCGTTGCCTGATTTTGTACCTAATCTGCACAAGCGAACAAACTGAGACTGTTTTTGATATAATAAGAACAAATTTTCAACAAAATTTTGTTCATTAATCATCATTCCTTAAGTGGTATTCATTTGTTCACACTGTATCATCCGTGGGCATAGACAACTTGATGAAACTAAAGAACAACATTTGTTGGAATTCAAATGAAGTTTTGCTAACGCCTGTTCGCACTCTTATCTGTACATACCGCGTTTTTTTCCTCCAGATTCCGATTTTCCATCTCCCTTGTCTGAGCGTTTTGTTCAATCCTCTTCAGTTCCCTCTGGCTATCTTCCAGCTGCGCGCGGAGACTAGTGATGCGGTCGCCCAGATGCGGTATTGAAGCAACTTTATTCTTCAAGCTCTCAAAGTCATCTATCAAGCGCTTTAATGCGGCTGAATAAATTGGAATAAGTGAAGCATTATAGAAAGACTTCATGGATGCTCGCTCAATATGATATCAGCAATATCACTACGAAGTGGAAGTTAGATTTCCGCGTTCACTCTTTTGAATGCTACTACAGTCCTCATATAACATTTACCTTTTGTGACTTTCACAATAAACTACTAAAACACTAATAGTAGTTGGAAACTTTTCTTTGAATTATTTTGAATCAACACAGTCAATCCACTTAGTATTGTCTCTTGATATTTCTGGCGGAACATTCATTTCACTAATTACAGCAATGCAACCATGTGCATTAATAGTGGCACCTTAATCTCTTTGCTACAAGCCGCCAGCAAGGATCAAAGTTTGCTTCATTAGCAGATATGAATCTCGGTCTGATGCGTTTCCTGTAAATTTTTGGGTTGAAATGAGTCATTTTGATGTGGTCGACCATTGAGTTGCGTGATTTAGGTTTGGTTAGGGTTTGAGATCAACTAAGACGACAAAATTTGATATAGAAATAAACTGATTCAAACAATGTGGTGTATGTGGTGGAGGGCAGGAGAGGATAGGTTGGGTGGCATTAGGGGCAACATTAACACTATCACGAAAACAACAGCTGCGTCACAAATGCTCCTTGAACACATAATTGCAGTTTGAAGCAATGAATAGTTATCGTCTCAAAAAGTCACAAATTGCTCGAACTTTGAGGTCTCCTAATGACACGAAACGTTTTGGCTGCGTCTACCGGGTGACCGGAGTCTAACAAATGCCGTGCAATTGCGCTGACTGGTACTTTCCCTCCACGAAGACCAAGGTGATTGATAGGGCAATTTTATTTCTTGTTTTCTTTTGACGTTTGCTATCTACCATCCAATCAGGAGTAAATAAGCTGATGATACCCCAGTCTGTTTGACGTCGAACAAAATCTCCAGTTCAATAATCCTAATTGTCCAAAATCTCTCAATTTAGATTGGTCGCCAACCTCTTCGTTACCCATTAATGTTTCTAAATAGAGTGATATCCCACTCTCACTTTATAACTGCGAATACTTAGCAGAAATACAAAGCAGATGCTATGAGCTGCTTATTGATCATCGCCGAAGTCGATTGTCCTTGAGTTACCTTTCCCCTAAATTTTGATAGTGTCCTCATATCGATGAAACATTTTAAAAATACAGTCACTGTGGTAGGATCAGGATATTTACATTAACCTTGATCTTCCCTTATTTGCTTGTATATGCTTTTGCTCTATTCCATTAGCTCAACTTAGTTCCTGAAAATTTCGATGGTTTGCGTTTCAACAACTACCGAATCGTTTCCAAATATGCGAAAACAATCTCATGGGCCAGTTGAACCCCACCTATTAATTTAGTTAAGTTTCTTTTAAAAAAGCTTGAAATTCTTGAAACGAGTGCTGATACAACAACACTTATCCACTTATCCAAAATTAGGTGAATATCTATACACTTCAGAATCACGGAACAAGTATAGATATTTGGCTGGAACTTTGTATATAACTTGCTTATGCTTCAATACAATACTCGTAGACTGTCTACTGTCAATCCAAAGATTTTGGCACAATAAACCTTACTTAGCACCCAGCCCACAGGTGACAAGGAATCTACTCGATCATTAATAGTTTTTCCTGTGCGTGCGATAGTGTAATATCTCATCCAGCACAATTTTAAAACTGCCGCTGGGGGTAAATGAAGCAACTATCTGACTTGACGAAACGTACTTAAACTTATCAATGTTATGTCGACCATTTCGGAAATCACAAAAGTATGACCGACAAAGGATAAATTTGTTCCGTCAAAATATCTCGGAAAAAATAGGTATTCAAACTGGTGTGAAATTTGCCATCCTTTTACCAATGAACGAAAACTAACTCGTTACTTTAAATTTTACCACTCAGGTTGAAATTTTAGAACGTTCACTAGCCTCGGTGGGACTCAAACTCACACATGGACACGCACGCCTATGCTTTATGAATGTTAAAAGATCAGTGCTATTGATGTGGTCTCGTAGCTGTACAAAAGTGTAGATGGTGTCTNCGCATGGGTTCAAATCCCACCGCAGTTACTGAACGTTTCACAATTTCAGCATAAGACTTCAATCTACGAAACAAAAAAATTGTTACAATTGACATACTATATGACCAATATGCTCAGCAATGAAATGTTGAGTTATAATGCAAATAGACAGCAGTCTAGTTAACTGGCATAAGAACAAACAACGACTTTTTTTACATAATGGAACATTAATCCTTTCATTACTTCAAACAAACACAGTTGTTTTGTTATTGATATCTGTAAGTGATTGTTGCTCTGAGTGGATTTTGTGGAAAATTTATGCTTACTAACTGTAGGTTAGGGTTAACTTACCCCAATGTACTCTTGTTACGTAAATAATACTGAGATAGGTATCCTGACTAATCGGCGTTTCATTCATACCGCAGTTGTGCAATCTGACCAACTATCAACCGATACTTGGTTTGTTGCAGTCATAGCAAATCGCTCCTGATTATTTTACCATTGGCGGTGACCATTGCGAAAAATACCAAGTGCGCTTGTCTTCTAAGGCATGCAACATTCGGCGACTTTAATCTTTGAGGTTGTTGCTGAGACCTGAATTTAGCTGTCAGTCACACACCTTTTTGTCCTTTTTGCATAAGGTGGATAATTTGAATAATTCGGGGCTATGAAATTGTTGCTGTAAGTTTCTGTAATAGCTGATATGATTAACTATTCAGAAGGTATCAATAGTTACCACCTATTTCTGTATATACTTCATTTATACGTATTATATATAGCGTTCCATTAAAGTGTTATTCCGGGGGTATGTTCGATGCAAATTAATACGGGCTATCCATAAATAATGTGATACTCAAAGATTTTGCCATCATATACTATTATATTGCGCACATATAACGCTTCAGACGTGCCTGCGCTCAATCCGTGTGACGCTTATCCCAAAGTGGCTCGCGTGATTGTGCCTGATTTTGGTGGAACAACCTAATCGGGCTTTCTAAAACCAGATCTTACCTCGATCGGGAACTGAGGGAATTACATCCACGAATTAATTCGATTGACGAGACATTTACCAGAGGAATACTAGTTGGAGCCTGCCCAAAAGCATCTTCATTTTGTTTCACATTTCCTCATTCTATGTCCTCAAAAAAACCGTTTGTATTTATTTGTCGAAATGTGATAACCCTTATCAGGTTTGACTGTAGTTCCTTTAAATACTTAATTTTGAAGATTACTTTAATGAAAGTTTAACACTGTACCTCGAGTGACTTTGGACGGCTATTGCGTGCGTATATCAAGCAATACCATCGTACGCTTCTTTCGCTAGTCAATTCAATCAAATTTTCCTCTATTGCAATATATATCCACATTTCTGAGAATCTCTTAGCTTTTATCTCAACCTTCTTTGTACTAAATTTTGGTATTTGGCACGACTCCAACAATGTGTGTTTTCTTCATCCAAAGATTTCCGAAAGTTTATAATTTATTAGATACGTAATAATAAAGGCTTGCTCGTTACCGCACTTCACAGATTTGACGGCACTTTGCAATTTTGTTTTTATGTTGTTTGCTCAATCTTTTCTAAGTAAAATACTTACTCAAATAAATAGTGGTTTAAACTCGTTAGGAAGGATGCCCAATTTTCAACAGTGCTCTCCTTAAATGAACCTTTTGCATTAAAAGTAATTATAGCTAAATCAATTGTACCAGAAATTCTTGGCATCCTACTGTGCATCTGGTTCTGCAGAAACCTTGGATAACATAGAATCATATGCTTTTATTTGTTTAAAAGGCACAATATCTGCCTCACAAACGTAATATCGAAATCGTCTTATCAAACAAACCTTTGTAACTTTCGAATTCCGCTTTAATGGTTTTCAACTTTTCTATATGTTTGCGCAAGGACATTACACCAATATCATTTGCATTTATGTGTTCATGCAATTTTTGAAGAGCCATTTGTTGTTTGATGTTCTCTTCCTCTAGTCTCTTGATTTCATTTCCGAAATCGCATTCATTTTGCAACCATTTCTTCTGAAACATACAAAATAAGAGATGAAGTGAATTTTAGCAATTGACTTTAATAAAGCTCATTATCGCTTGTTTAAACAAACGACCGTATACCGTTTAATAATGGATTGTGTTGAATTTGTGTACTGTACACGCTCACTTTATACATTCGTTTAGCCACCTTTTTGATATCCATCCATATCATCGATCACTCAATCTCATATTCCTCAACGTGTTCATCCCGTTCAAGATGAATTACTTCATTTGTTTATTTGCCCACAAAAATTGCACGTATGTTTCATCTCCTTTCCTGACCGTTGTCCCTGACCCCGATATAATTTGATTCACTCACCCTATAATTCCTATACTGGTTCACTTCATTTTATTCAGACCCGTCCTATAACCCATAATCGCATATGTGCTCTGCATCTTCTGTACATTTTGCTTGCAAGCTTGATAGAGTGATGAATTCCCTCGTTCGCACATTTGATTCGCTAGGGTCATTATTCCTATGCTTGGTTGGGGCATATCCTCGGGAAAACATCAGTATTTGAGGTGGTTTGTTTATAAAATAGTAACTGCTTTTACTTAAAGTTCTGCATTACTATTTGCTATTGCCTGAAGTACAATAAACCTAAAGAAGATTTGGAATTCACTTCTGAGTTTGCTGACTTAGATGTAATTACAGGCTTCAAAGGTAGTGCCCGTCGGAGATTGACTAATGGTACTGTTTTTATTAATGTATCTGTTTTGGTCTACAAGTGACTGGTACTTTGCTGTGTATGAATGTGGCCCGACTGACTAATTGGTTGATTGTTTGACAAGTACTACCTGCTATTAAACACGCAAGCACTCACACCATGCCGACTGACTTTACTACAAAATCGATCGGCTGCAACCAGTTAGATATTAGTATTGCAGTGTTCACGCTAATTGATGCGCTGACCATTTGAATGCCTACTTGAAGGCATGCGAATGACGCGTGACGCTTGAGCCAGTTGTAGGCAAGCCTACCTACCTTCCTAAGTTTTACGCATTTCTGTTTGCACACCGGCCTGCGAGCCAATCACATACCTGCTCTCTACAATAAACGTACTGAATAATTGACTGCGTTCTCACTTACTTACTTAAATAAGATACAATATTATTAAACAGTTATTAATGATATACGCCCCGTAGCCAAACTTGGCTTTTATTTGCGAATATCTTTATACTTTCCGACCGTCTTTTACAAAAATTGATATTTATCCATAAAACAATTGTAAGTTGGTGTCATTTGATATGCTTTTGCATTGCTTTGCACATAACATTTCAACATGTCAAATTAGCATGCGAAATTGTGGCGAATTTTCTTATCAGCAATCAGAAAACGCTTTGAGGATACACGATAGAAAATCTATAAAGGGCTCAATCGATAAATTAGTCATTGGATGAAATCAAATCGATGTTGGATTTCAAAACACATTTGGGAAATAGTTAAATTTAGTAATCACCCACAGTATGACAAAAACAAATGAACTCTCGTTCACTATAAATAAATTGCATTTTTGCTACAGATTAAATTGTAAATTCTACAGTTCTATTTTGATAATAATAAAACAGAAAGTCAGTCAACTTAGCTTTTCAGCAAACTGATTCCCATTGAAATATGCTGTCGATATTATATTTCTACTTTTATTTAGTTCACAGCGAATACATTGCCACGTTTTCTCTATAGGTGATTAGAATTTTTCCTTTGAAGAAAATCATAACAAGAACGAGCAAGCAAAAAACATCATCTGATGCATAATCAGTTCCAAGGGAGAAGCTGAACCATTCCTAGTACCGGTATAGATATGCCATCTTTTGATTGGCGGTGAAGTATGTAATACATGTTGTGGATATGTTTTTGCATTGTTACGCTTTAATAATTATCAATGGGAACAGTAAAAGTAACACATACTTAATCAACCGGCGTCACCCAGAGGAATGTTCGAAAGTCTATTTAATTCCATAGATATTTACAAATAACAATATTACCATGCGGCAAGTTTTTTTCCGGGAGATTTTCCTCTAAGTGTGTGAACAAATACAAATTTGGACACAGGAGGCACGATAGAAGATGTACCAGTGGGATTTCAGTAAATAGATCATACCAGAAGAACTACATGATGCTAGATGAATTCAACGTTTTATCAAGGTTAAAAATATGTGATATATATGTTAAATATATATATGTATATATATTTAAAATTGTACTGTATGTTAATCCTGTTTTTTATTAAGTTTTGGATAAATTGTTCGTTGCAATTGAGAAGTTTATAATGATAACGGTAGAAAATGCACCGTTTCAGTTTACAAGGATAAGGTTTACAGTTAAATACATTCAGCTGGTAAAATGTCATGACCCGTTTACTTAATGAAGTTGTAAACGTGGGCTTGAAATATGTGTGCTAAATGTTAGCTAAACATGTTCGTGCATTAGGTATTTCTTTTGCTTTGTTAGCAGCCATTTCAATAAAGTCCTATCCAAGTCCTATCTAAGCCCCATTGCAATTCCATTTGAACCTTGTTTTTGTTGCAAACGGACTCGAATGTTACTGGAATACAACTCGAAAAGGACTTCAATGGAACGGTTCTACTGCAAATGACTTAAACTTAAAGAGTGACGAACTTGAAGGTGAACAAATTTAATTCCCTTTCTAACAAACTAGCTTTCAGTGCTACTGGAACTAACTCAAAGGTTGGTATCAATGATACTTCACAAACGTCATACTTTTAAAGGTCATTTATCAATTACACATAGATCTCTGCAGTAAATGGGAGTACCAAGGTGGCTCTAATGTGAATTAGAAATTTTAATTGAAATTATCGGCTCGCCATTTTGGTCCAATCTGGCTATCATATTTGGCGTACTTTACAACTATCCGACTGCACACCGAAAATACAAGGGACGTACTCAACTTTCCGTTTCTACTTAATACTCACTTTGGACTCCTCCATTTCACCCTCGGTTTCCTTTTTCATGAATATCATTTGTTCTACCTTGAATTGCAAGCTACTTATGTCATTTTGTTGCGCGTGAACCAGTTTTGAAATTCGCCTGAAGTCACGAACAACCGCATAAAGATTAGAAGCACTCAGCATTCCTGGTGATGGTCCATTTGATGGAATTTTGATGGTTCTGCCTAATGATTCACCTTGCGCTCTTCCAAATTCTGAAGGAATGTTGATTTCTTCCATCAATCTTGTGAGCGCTGAGCAAAGACACTAGAATAAGAGAAAGAAATGTCTAAGTACAATTATGGCTTACACCCATGGCATTTTCCGACTCTTGTAAATCGAGGTCCTCCTGTAGGGTAGGAAAGCAAACATTCGTTTGTGTTTCTTCGTCTTGTATGGACCGTTTCAGGAATAATTTGTTTTCTAAGTCAATTGTAGATTGCTTTTGATATGCACGTTCAACTTCCTGAATCCACTCCAGCGTTTCAGCTGCTACCAAAGGGAGCGATATTTCTTCAGTTCCGTTCATAACAAGTTCTCGTGTAGAACAGGCATCCTTTGACATACTGCCGAAAACTCCAATGCTAGAATTTGTCGAAGTGTGACATTCCATCTTTGAGATCGCTTTCTCTTGAATTAGTTGAAGTTTAAAACGTTATACACCTGCTCACCATCATGAAGCCGTATAATATCACAGAAAATAGCAACAACATCTCTTATGTTGCTCACTTCTATATTGAATGCGTTCCTATTAGTTTTACATTGATAAAGCAGTAAATGAAAAGCTATTTGAATGAAAACAACAAGCCTAAGATTATCGCTTTTTTCAATGATTGAAATAGATTCACCTGTCTATTAGAATTTCCAGCAGTAAAACGTGTACTAATTTATTTTGTTCTCCTTTTTTTAGTTGAAAATTTAGGTTTGGCAGTACGTCCATTGCATGAAGGATATCCACATTCTGCGGCCCGAATTTCCACGACCATACCAAAAAAGGCCCAGAGGTAGAATTTACTTCTTTGAGAAAATTTTGGATGCCGGTAATTTCATCTTTCAATTTCTCTATACAAAATCTGCTACCAAATTGCATGTGTTTACAAGAGCGCAGAACTTTGAAAAGGTAACCTGTGGAGGTTGTCCACTTAGTGGAGTAAAACAAAGAATTCGACTTTGTAATCCATTTCAGGTCAGGTCGGATACAGTGGACTTGTTGCTGATGCTAATGCGTCCATCTCCTCTCACTTGTGATCTCTGGTGCAATCCTGTGCTTCGACTGCAGGAGAAGTTCTTCAGGCCAGCCCAGGCTTCATAGGACGTAAAATGGACAGGACAGGACAGTTCAGTTCAGTTTGCACAGGACATAAAATGGCCACGACCAATCGAGCCGCCAGAATTCCTTCGATGCTATGCGGTCAAGTATGGCATCTTCCACTGCGAAAAGTAGTCCGTACTTCTTGGCTGAAAAGAGGACGGGAAAGA